ACACACAAGGTACATCATGTCACAAATATGTATGTGCATTTGTTTCATGATCTCATTAACGATAGCCAAATGGCGGCCGCTTTAAGGCCGAAAATGCATTGAAATCGCACATTTTCACCATTCCGGACCCGTATCTCAGTTATGCATGGATGGATTTTGTTCAAATTTGGTACATACATTAAACATAATAGGACCTTGATGCACGTCTTTTTTTTTTTCGGATCAAGTTCAAAATGGCTGACTGGCGGCCATTTTGTTAAAGAATTCAGTTCTGGATCCGTATCCAAAACATGTCTGGATTGATCAAGTTCAAACTTCACACACACATGGTACATCATGTCACAAATAGATATGTGCCTTTGTTTCATGATCTGCTTAACAATAGCGGAATGATGGCCATTTTAAGGCCGAAAATGCATCAAAATCACGTATTTTCACAATTCCAGAACCGGATCTCAGTCATGCATGGATGGATTTTGTTCAGATTTAGCACAATGTGTTGTACATATGCAGGTGCATTTCGGTCATGATCTGCTTTGAATGTATATGTCACTCAAATATGAACGGAACGGGGACGTGTCATTGACAATGACTTGTTGAGTTTTATTTTGTATGTATGTATGTATGTATGTATTCTGTGCGTGAACATCATCTTATGAATGCTCTGTTTAAGAATAAATAAATCTCAAATTTAAATTTTCACACAATATGGAATGGAGTAAATTTAAGAAATATTCAAACCAGTATTATTTGGCCATTATCGAAATTTCCAAACTAATATAAAGGTATCATTAGCAATTAATCCATAATTTTTTTTATCTGTAATTTAAACTGTATTATATATTTTTAGCTTAGAAAACTGAGTTGGTATAATTGAAATTTTATTGTAAATATATTTAGGTTTTTTTTTAAGTGGACATTCATCTGTCAAGTGTAGTAAACACTTATGTTGCTTCACTATCATTTTGTCGGCATGGTGAATTGCAAGTATTATCTAGCGTGCGTATACAGCAGCCATTCTTAATTTTTTTACAATTCATGCTATATTTACATTGAAATTAATACAGTATATGTAGTATTCATTAAGGAACACACTATAAGTTTCTTGAAATTAATACAGTATATGTAGTATTCATTAAGGAACACACTATAAGTTTCTTGAAATTAATACAGTATATGTAGTATTCATTAAGGCACACACTATAAGTTTCTTGAAATTAATACAGTATATGTAGTATTCATTAAGGAACACACTATGAGTTTCTTGAAATTAATACAGTATATGTAGTATTCATTAAGGAACACACTATAAGTTTCTTGAAATTAATACAGTACAATTGAGGAATGCATTGGCTCGTATTTTCCTCGCCAAATTTTGCTTTAAATAGATAAATTACTGACCTATTTTTTTTTAGGAATTTTTAGCTTCGCTGTCAACTTTGTTTTGGAGCTTATCATATGAGCGATTGTTCTGCCGTCGTCCGTGTCAATGTTTTACTTTTTTAACTTCTTTTTGAAAACTACAAGCCTAAATGCTTTGATCCTTGTTGTATATGTACCTTGGGTAGACCTGTCTTAGATTTGTTCATTTCATGATGATATCTTCAATTCTCTAATTTTGGTGAATATTTTTGGTAAAAAGTGATATTTTTGACTTCTTGTTAAAAACCGCAAGTCCAGTTGCTTTGATATTACATATATAGGTACTACATGTGGACCTCTCTCTCAAATAACAATAAATGATATCTTCTGTTCTTTAATTGGAATGTGCATTGCTAACAGTGGAGCCATCTCAGGTGACAGGCTGCTTGTTATACAATTTAAGTTATATTAATGAGATGATTACAGTACATGTAGTATTATTTACTATGGTCTAGATTTATTGCATAATACATTATGGTATACTTTGATTCGTTTTCTTTTTTACGCTTATTTTGTTGTGTCATTGTTAAAATGCTCTTGTTGTCCATTCATGTAATGACTGGAGTCTCTGTTTGGCGTCCAAGGGGATAACATCCTGGCTTTGGTTATTTTTTGTTGATTCCAGGGCGGTACCAGTGTCACTCCTCCTGATCCCTCCCGACAAATACAAATTGTTCAACCCTTGGAAAGGTTTGATTGCATAAATATAAATAAGTGAGATGATCGTCGTAATCAAACACGGAAATTGTACATAATACATTCCGAATATTAACAATTTTTTTATGTACCGGTAATTATGATGACTATTTTCGCTTGTATTTTACACACAAAATGATTAGATAATATATTATTGCATTTTTCAGGATTTTTGTACTCACTTTTGCCATGCAAAGAAAAGATAATGCATCATTAATTTGTTATTTAATCTAGCTTCTCAATGGACAAGGTTGTAATAATTACGCTATGTTTTATTTCTCCGTTACAGTTATTTCGGTTGATTAGACCAAGATTTATACTAAGTGGGCATATACATCATGGATGTTACATTGAACATGACGATGGAACACCGGAAATAACTGTACCATCATTTAGTTGGAGAAACCGAAATAATCCCAGTTTTGTGTTGGTGAGTATGAATTCATATAAATTTCAAAAGATTATTGGTATTTTTTTTTTCTTTTATCCACTGTTTCTGTTTTCTCTCATTGTTTCTAGGTAACCATTTCTGCTGACGAAATTTCCTTCAATAAGTGCTTTGTTCCTAAGGAGAACACAGTGATCACTATCTATTTAATCAGTGGTGTTACCATGGTAATATGGACCATATTTTTGAAACTTCGGAGGAAGAATCGCAGAGTTGTATTTCCACACCAAGCAATAGACTGACTGAATACGTAGTGTAACTTGCATCTGTCTCCATATGTGGTGAATGGGTTCTTTTTTGAAACTTTTTGATATAAGTTCTAAAATGCATATTAATAATGCATTTACATAATTAATCGTTTAAGTATCTCCCCTGATAATTTTGCATATCATTTTTTTTAAATGTAATTTTCATTTGTTTTATGTTCAATGCAAGTGATTTTCAAATTGTTTTTAAATGAAAAATTAATGGACCTTGGTCAATGTTTGCTCAATTTTGTGTAGATAAAAATAATATACAACTAATTTTGCATACCATAGTAATTAGATGAAATTGACTTATTATAAATGTCTGGCCAAAATATTAAATTACAGGCAAGCAGTAAAACAATTTTTTTTCTTTCTAAGTGAACCACAGGTAACAAACAGGTATTGCATGGCGCCCTCTGTGGTATCCATATCACAAGTTGTTTATTCAGCCATCTTTTTTAAAAATATTATTTATTATTTGTTTGCATCCAGTCATTTAGTCAAATTTTTAACAGTTTTGTTGGTAGATAGAGCAAAATCCCAGAGACATTTATAGTTGGTTAAAGAAGTAATTTGTCTTTTGTAAATTTTGGAAAATATGCCTTATGTATTGTTATTTTTATAGTTTTCATTTTAATTTTAACACTTTTTTCAATGTTTATTAATTGTTTTTTGCACAAATTCACTTTACTTTTCTCTAATACTTTATTTTTATTTTTATTTTTGAGCATATTGTTCTGCTTTTTTTCTTGTGCTAGTTTTCAACTTAAAATTAATTACCAGTTAATTGTAACTGTCATTTTATCTGTGAACATTGACAATGTAAATCTATGCATTATAGTGAACTGTATATTTGATATGAAATATTAAGAAAGATAGTTTTGTGATATACCGGTATATTGAATGAGTTCTTTATCTCAGTGTTTTGTAGCTTGTCTGTTATACCCATATATTGAATTTCTGTATTTGTTTTTTTTAGAGGCACACAGCCACAAATTTACCATGTGCCTTACTAATAAAGCAAATATAAGGTAACCATCAGTCCAAAACATGAAATTAGTGTTTTGGGTTCCATCCGTGCATCTGTCCAGCAACATTCAGTCTGTGACTTGCCTTGAACAATTTTGTTCAATGTTGATGCTAAGACCAGATATAATGATATACATAAGCTAAACACATTTTTCATTTTGTTGAGTTTTGTTTAACTGGTGGCAATTTTCATCCAAAAATCAACCCTTGAACTTGTGCATCGGTGATCCACCATGTTTGATGTTCATAACAAGTTTAAAAAATGGTATGCCTGAAAAACCCCCAGCTGACATCAGTTTATTTTGGGATTTGCAATCATGTTTCATTTTCAAGTGTCCTTCAGATGCATTGACTGATTTTTTTTTTAAAGGTGCTACAAAGACAACTTTAGTTGAATTTGTTGACATTTGATCAAAAAATCAATATTTGAACATGATAGTCTGGCTCGATTTCCTTCAAACATGGAATTGACATCATTCCTGGTGGGTTAATTACTATCTAATTGAAAATGTTTTCTCCCGTTTTCCCCAATTCAAAGTCAATACAAAGACAAGACATCAAAGTAAACATATCAATTGGTATTTCTACAGCGTGTATGGACCTATTTCATACAAACTTGGCTAGAATTCATCTAATTGGTTAGTGATAATGCATGCCATGGGCTTCATTTGGAGTGAAATAAAATATTTTTGTATATATGTGTATGTGTGTTCATTCACTTTTATTTGTGGTACTTGTCCACATTGCTAACTATAAGGTATGTTAATTATGAGACCTTAAAGCGAAGGAGTCGTCACCTGCGCATACGTCTGATGGCCATTGTCATTGTTTACAAACAAGCATCTACCCATGAACCTTTGCGTTTTTAGCGTGTGTTATCACTTGGGACTCAAATCCTACACGTGTGCAGGTGACGACCCTCCCGCTTTAAATAGACCATTTTCCGTTCACCACTAGACCCTGTATTATTCATGAAATTGAACTAA